AAAACAACAAAAAAAAGACTATAGTACCACAAACTACCTAAAAGTTGTAACCCTGATGATTTCCTTGATGAACTTTCATAACATTAATTATTACCATGAACTAATTTCGAAGACCCACAGGTTCTTAATTATTCAGGCCCCTCATTATCAATTAAGAGAAATCTACTCAATGATGACACATTATCAAATCTCTTCAGACATATCAGTGACTCAGGACAAAGTATATACAAATTTCCAGAAAACCTTTCAAAGTATGCACCTGTTTTGAAGTGTCATCTGTGCAGGATATATTTCACATCCAAATATACTAGGAGATAGAACAAGAGCAGAATCTACTTGCTCTCATTGTCAGTAGACAATGGATGTAATGTAATGGAATCCTATGCAAGGCTTACCCAATGGTGTATGAATAGGAAGGTACAAAGCTGTTGGAGATTACTATATAAACATACACTGTAGGCTCAAACACAAACCAATCCTGATAATCCTTAAGCTCACTAAAAGCTTTATTTTAGGAAAAGATCCCATGGGAATATGCAAAGCTAAATGACATCAAAAAAGGAAAAACTTACAAATTAATTATTAAAGCATAATAAATAAAAGTGATTATATTTTTTTCTCTTCCCACTTAAATTTTCAGTGATGTGCTGTATGTATTTGGATAACTTATCTTCTAAAGCAATCAAACACACCTAACCCATTCTCTCTAGAATAGAAATTCAACTTATAGGAGGTAAACTACCATTGGTTCTTTTTAGCCTGTTTCCTTTGGTAGCTTTAATCTAAGATGACTCAAGCTCAGCTTCTTACAAAATAAAAATGGGTATTGATGTAAAAATAAGTTAAAATCCAGGGTCACAGCAATCTTTTTTTTTTTTTTTTTTTTTTTTTTGAGACGGAGTCTCGCTCTGTCACCCAGGCTGGAGTGCAGTGGCCGGATCTCAACTCACTGCAAGCTGGTATTATTGATACCATTACCATAAAGAGATTAGATTGGAGGTATAAAAACATACATAACAGGGTCTTTGTCTACAACATTTTTAGAGTAAACATGAAAAAATACAATGCACAATAAAATAAAGACTACGCTCAAAAGTGTCAATGATGGGACAAATGGCAGGTGGGCAGCTGTTTTCAGATAAAGAGGTAATCACGGTAGGATGGAGAGATCACTGGCATCTGAGTGATCATAAATTATGATATTGAACCAAACAAATGCAGTAAGAATGAAAAGACTTTCGCTAGCCAGGAAGACTATTAACACATCCTTATAAAAAGATAAAGGCAGAAGACACAAATACTGTTCTCTTCCAATAAGAGTCTGAAAAATGATTATAGCATAAGAAAACCATAAAGGATTATTTCATTCCATATTATCAATATGAATCGTGGTCAGGAAGAGGCAATGAATATTTGCAAGAGTGCCTTCTTAAGACCAAAGGAAATAAAGAAATGAACATGGAGTCTTTCCTCAAGGAGCTTTAAGGCTAAAAGCTAGAAAGGGAAACTGAACAGTCATAATTTTCATTTTGGGATATAAGATAACATGTAAAGGACTGTTAAAAAAGCAAGACTAGGCCAGGCGCAGTGGCTCACCCCTGTGATCCCAGCACTTTGGGAGGCCGAGGTGAGCGGATCACCTGAGGTCAGGAGTTTAAGACCAGCCTGACTAAAAACCCCGTCTCTACTGAAAATACAAAACTTAGCCAGATCTAGTGGCAGGCACCTGTAATCCCAGCTACTTGGGAGGCTGAGGCAGGAGAATCGCTTGAACCTGGGAGGCAGAGGTTGCAGTGAGCTGAGACTGTGCCATTGCTCGCACCACTTGCACTCCAGCCTGGGGACAGAGTGACGACTCCATCTAAAACAAAAAAAAAAATCAGAGCAAAGATTGCTTG